AAAGAAGGGACAGGCTGGGGATGGGAATGGGAACTAAAAGCAGGAAGAAGCAGAGGGAAGAGGTACAAAAGGGGAATGGAGAGCAGGGGTGACGGCGGGGTGGGCTGAGCATGGTCAGCACCGATACGGTCTTGTCGCCTGAGCCCCGGCTCGGTGTCAGGACCGAGGCTGATTCTGGTTCTGCAGCAGACTTCCTGCGTGAACTTGGGCTGGTCACCGCATCTCCCTGGGTCTCACTTGCGCACTGGGAACATCCCCTCCCTCAGGGCGAGGCATTCCCGCCCACGGGTTTCCCTGGGTCTGCCCTGCCAGCCTCTGGGCCTCCGCATACGGTGTTCCTTCTTCCCGGAATGTTTTTTTCTCTTCTCTGTTGGGAAACTCCTGCTTATCCTTCAAAACCCTGTTCAAACTTTTCCTATTTGTGAAACCCTCCCTGAGTCTTCCAGACGGTGGTGCTCACTCCCTCATCAGGGACCCATAGCCCTCTGCGTGTCCCTTGTTGTGACTCTGAACACACCAGTCACCCGTGGTTTCCCCCGGGGACCGTGACACCTGCAGGCCAGGCCAGGGTTAGTGGCTTCGCTGGACAGGGCCTGGAGCCAATATGTGCTCCGAGGGTATTTACTGGGTGAACAAACAGGAGTGACTGAGTACCTACACAGATTGATGAACGCTGCCTACCGTATTCGTTTATGGAGCCCTTGCTGGATGCCTGGCTCTGTGCCAGGGTGTCATTTGACCTGACAGCAGCCCTACGAGGCAGGTCAGGTTATTGTCCCCATTTCTCAGGCGAGGAGACAGGCTCAGAGAGGTCAGTGGCTTGCTCAGGGGCACCGAGCTTGGGTTGGGCCCAGGACTACCCGAGCCACACACCCTAGCTCTACTCTGCACGACCCCGCTGCTGAAGAGGGAAGGCAGTGAGAAACGCTGTGCTGGGGGGTGGGGGTGGGGTGGGGGAGTAGTGGGAGGAGAGGCGCCCTGTCCCGTCCCGGGAGGTCGTGGGTCACAGGAGAAGGCAGCTCTCTGTCCCGGTGGGTACCGGCAGGGATGGGGGTGAGGTGAGGGGCAGGTGAGGGCCAGGGGCCTGGGACATCTGGAACCTGGGCGGCTCTGGGCCTCTCCCAGCATGCACTGCAGGTAAACCAGGTACTTTCCCGGAACTACAAAGGCTCTTGGTTAGGGACGTGGGTGGACCGGTGAGGGCCTTCTGATGAGCAGGGCCCAGCTCTGGGTGGGTCACCCTGGGAGGCCTCGGTGTGAGATGCCATAGTTTGCAGAGTTCGATCATCCCAGTGGCCCTGGGTGCAAAGGGGGGTGCCTCTCCTCATTGGCCAGAGGAGGTAAACTGAGGGCAGGGTGGAGCCAGAAACTGGCTAGGGTTACACAGCCGAGAGGCAGGGTGGGTGGCCTCGTGCTCCAGTTGCTGGCTCCTGAGCAGGGCGTGTCCAGAGCTGCCTGGGGAGGGTGGGCAGATGGTTAGCAAGACCAGGATCTGGGTCCACTCAGCCCTGGGTGGAGCCCCAGACCCTCTGGGCATGGGCACCCCGGTTCAGATCCCTGCTGGGTCACGTGAGTTCTCCTCTCTGAGCCTCTGTTTTCTCATCTGTAAAATGGGGGAAGTGTTGCTTCTCTTGCAGGGTTTTGGGAGACTGTGATGTAAGCCTGTGTGTGCAGGTCTGAGCACACAGTAGGTACTCAATAAATGTCAGTTCCTCTCCATCCCATCTTCTGGGGAGCTGAGACTCCTGTCTTTCTCCCGGATTGAGGCTGGTGTCTTCTGCCGAAGGTTAGGGGCCAGCAGAGGGTCTGAGGCTGATTCTGATGTTGCCTGTCTCTGAGACTCGGGGCTGGTGCCCGTCTTCTACGGGCCTCAGGGTTCTCATCTGGCAAATGGGGACAGAGTTCTCTCCCTCCCCTTCCCGGACTGTTGTGAAGGTAGAAATGGAGGAAAGGCTGAGCCTGGTTTTAAACCCAGGTGGTTTTTACAAAAGGAGGACTACTTCTGGAACCTGCTGTTTTGGGAACAAGCTGTGGGGAGGGAAGAGATGGCACCCCTCTGACTCTGCTGGGGCACTGGCATGGGGGTGGGGAAGGCGGGCAGGCTTCAGGCAGAGGCCGGAGCTTGGGAGGTGCAGGAAGGACAGTGGAGGGCATCCAGTCTAGGGCCCATTGGCCTGGGCTTGAATCCTGGCCCTACCCATTACCGGCTGGAGGCCACAGACAAGTTACTGGACCTCTCTGAGCCTTGCTTCCCTCGTCTGTGCAGCAGGGGTGGGAGTATTCAGAACAGTCCTTTCGTTGGGTTTGGGAGGATTGTTGGGATGGTGAGGGGAGTGCACCTTGGTCAGGGTGTACAAAGCTTTCTCCCGTTCTCTCCCCTTCTCAGGATCATAGGATATGGTGGGGGAGGTAGGGGGACGGTAGCTGGGACGCTAATGGCAGGATCATGGGCACAGTGGTGTGGATGTGAGAGATGTTTAGGGCCTGAATTGAGGGGTTGGGGACAGCTGTGGGTTAGCACTGGTCTCCAAAGAGGGGTGATGCCTGAGATGACTGCTGGGGCCTTAGGAGGACAATATTAGCATTTCCATATTTTTCAACTATATTCTTTATTAACTTCTGGATTTGTGTTTGTGTGTGTTATGATGTTTGTAATAACCAGAGCAGTAACACATGTATATAATTTTGAAAAAAAAAAATATAGAGGATGTGTTCAAAAGGTTTTGCTGACAAAGGTGCATGATCAAAATACCTACACCCTCTGGGGTCCGGGCTAGCGGGGACTCTGAGATGTTCTGGGGAGTGGGGTGTGTGCAAAGGCACCGGGAGACTACTGGAGGATTTGGACTCCAGTCTCCACTCTGTCCCCAACTTGTTGCATGTCCTTGGGCAAGTCACCTAACCTCTCTGAGCTTATCAAACAAGCAGAGGCTCTTTTAAGCAACTGGAGCTTGGGATTGTCTGATTCTGAGCTTCGTTCCAGATCTCAGACAATTCTGGATTCTTGGGACTGCCAAAGTCTTCTCTTGTCACACCTGGTAGATACTCATGTGCCCTTCTAAGCGCAGCTGCGTCTTATCTGTGCTCTGCTTGCATACCCCACCCCCCCAGGTGGGGAGCTCACCCTCTCTCAGGGTGCCCTGTCCTGTCCTGGATGAACCTGTCATCTGCCTCCCTTCCCCCTTCCCTCATTAAAGGTGAAATTGGGGAGGGCAGGGGCTGGAGCCTCAGGCTTCAGGGGCTGAGGAAGCGGCTTTTCTCTCTTGGGGCTCTTTCCTGTGGGTGCCAGTCACAGCCCCCACAGCATCTGCCTTCCGTTCGGGGCTGCTCTCAACCTTTTTGGTGAAACAAAGCCTTTTTTGGTTCACCCTGCAACAGGAGGGGGCAGCTTGAGCGAGCTTGCTGTCCACCCCCAGTACCTGCTCCTGGTACATTCCATCACCCCATGTAAGCTCACAGCAGCCAAAAGCAGATTGTGTTTGCTGAGCACCCACCGTAGGCCCCGGGCTCAGTGCTTTGCAAATACAGTGCAGTTTTTTCCTTACCAAATCCAGTGATTGTCAGTTTCCAGTTGACAAAACTCAGAGAGATGAAATGACTTGCCCAAGGTCACATATTGACCTGGATTCAGATCCATCTCTGTCTGACTCTGGAGCTCAGCTCTTCATCACTCTTCTGTGCTGTCCCTTTGTGCCCCCTGAACAGACTGTAACATGGCAGGAAGACAAATTGAGACCTTTGTCTGAGCTAAAAAAAAAAACCCCACACAGTCAGCAAGGGGCAAACAGATGGTGGGTATTTGGTTGCCTGTCAGCTAAGCATGAGTTACTAGTGCAGGACCACCCAGAAAGCCAATGTAAACTTCCGCCATATTAAAAGAGGTAGGGCATCCACTACAAGGAAGGAGATAGTCTTGTGATTCTCAGTGCGGGCAGATGGTTTCTGGAGAATAGTGTGCAGTGGTGGGGGAAGGGCAGAAGGCTTGCTGCAAGGACATGGACACACAGAAGACTGTAAGTTCCCCTGGCTGGAAGTATTTAAATAGAGGCTGCATGGCACAGGAGTCCTGTGTTGGATGGCGGAGGGCACAGGCAAGGTCCTTTCAAACTGCAGTTTTGTGGCTGGACTCCGGTTGTCACCAGGGCCACAACACTCAGGCCCATCAGATTTCGATGGGGTACATTCATTTGTCCACCCATCCACCCATCCATCCATCCATCCATCCATCTAATATAGTAGCTAGAGCAGTGAACAAGAGAGACATAAGCCTTCCCTGCCTGGAACCTACAGTCCAGTGGGGATAATAGCAATCATAACAGTGAGCATAGGTACCTTAAGTGAATTATTCCATCTGGCCCCACTACAGGTATTATTATCTGCATTTTGCAGATGGAGAAATTGAGGGGCCATGGGGGATGGGATTGGCAGGGCTCCCCGGGGAGTCACGGATCAGGTGCTGCCAGGCCTATGTTGATAATTCCAAGAACCTGAGGCTCTATGATGCTCGGATGCTGTGACTAAGATCCTATAGTGCCCAAAGGCTGTTGTTGTAAAAGGGGGTGCAGAGGAGGGATCCAGTTACTGATGGGAGCCCTCAGGCCCCCCCAACCTTGACCTTCAGTAGCCAGAGTTATTGTTTTATTGAGACCCAGGCGTGGTTCTACGTGCTCTCCTGGGATGTCCTCACTTGCTCCTCATAATAACCCTCTTAGGTAGCTACAGGCACTATCGTTTTACAGATGGGAAAACTGAGGTATAGAGAGGCTGAGTAACTTGCCCAAGCTCACACAGCTGGGAAAAGGAAGAAGGAGCTTGAGCCGTCTATCTGTACAGGCCACACTTTATCCAGGATGCTCCATGGACCCAGCCTTCCGGCTGTCTCCTCCAGGAGCCTCCTTACAGCCTCCCCCCCCGCCCCCGGACTGCCCCGTCACCAGGGTGGGAGGGGGCAGGGGTGGAGCTGTGCAGGCCCCACTGACGGATGCTCTGTGTGCCCCCAGATCATGAGTGTATTGCTGTTCATCGAGCACTCAGTGGAGGTGGTCCACGGCAAGGCGTCCTGCAAGATGTGGCAGACGGGCTACCTCAGGCTCGGTATGTCCTGGGGGGACTCGGGAATGGGAGGGGCAGGTGCGGGGAGGGGCCCTGGCTCTGGGCAGAATGGCTGGGGTTTGATGCCCTGCCTCTTCCCTTTTGAGCCACAGGTCTTTCCTCTGCAAATGGAGACCTGTCCCCATCCAAGTCTCTAGGTGTGAAAGCAGAGAGAAAGGTGCTTTGCAAACCTAACCAGCTTAGAAGGTGACAGCAGGCTGCCCACCACCCTGGAGTAAGACAGAAACTCCCCACGGTGGGATCCCGCCCCTCTGGCCTCTCTGGCTCCGTCTCGAAGCAGCCCCTTGCTCCCTGTTCCTGCTGTGCCAACCACACGGAGCTCAGCCCCGTCTCAGCTGCCTGGACTCCTGGTCACTTGGCTCGCAGGCTGCCTCCTCAGAAGCCTTCCCCGGCCTCACCCTGGCTAAAGCAGACCCAGGCCATCCTCCCACCCTGCATCCCATGTTACCTGAAATGTTCTGTTTGCCGTCTTTGTAGTCCCCCAAGACTGAGAACAGCAGGAGGGCAGGGCCTGGGCTTACTCCTCATTGTCATAGCCCCCACCCCAATGGTTCCCAAAATGTGGTCCTCGGAACCTGCGTGGGGTCCTGGGGGCACCTCTGGGCCCTTCACTGCTGTCCCTTGCCTTTCAGCCAACCTGATCTCCAGCTTCCTGCTCATCACCATGCTCTTTGTCATCAGCTTGAGCCTGCTGATCGGAGTGGTCAAGGTGAGGGCTTGGTCGGGGGAGGGGAATGGGAGTCAGGACCTGGGAGCTGGCCAGGAGCCCCAGCTACCCTCCTGCCCCCCCTCCTATTCACACCCACTGGGTGGGCAGCCCTGGCTGCCAAGAGGGTGGGAGGTGGGTATTTTGGGAGACCCCGCCCCCTGCACCCTAGAGATCTTCATGCTTGCTTACAGTTTGGAAAGCCTCATTTCCACACCAGGCTTCTCCGGCTGGAGGCCTTGGTTCCCTACTAACACATAGCCTCCGTGTGGGGGGGTGTGCACACGGGTACTTTGTTGTACTAGCCAGTGACCCACATGCTTGTAAGCTGCAAATGCAAGCAGGGAATGTTGATAGAGAAAAGAGGAAGGGTCATTTCGAGGCGTGGGGAGAGGGGAGAAAGCAGTGGGTTTCGTAATCAGTGAGAGGAACCAGAGCTAGGGGAGCATCTGGCTCAGTTCCACCCAGCTAGCTGGTGAGAGAGAGAGAGAGCGAGACTGGTTGTGGCTCAGCTGTCTGTGAAGAGGAAACTGTCTGTCCCTTGGCCCCGGGAGGCAGGAAGCCAGGGCCTCACCACACAGCCCCCGGAGCAGGACTCAGCAAGAGCATCCTCCCCGGGGAGCCAGTGGCCTGGCACTCGCAGGCCAGCAGAGCGGGGCAAAGAAGGATGGGGGGCTGCTTTGGAATGTGCCCGCCTTGCCTGCACTGCCCCCACCGCCCCCTCAGCTAACAGCACCCTTCGGAAGCTCTGTGCCCTAGGGAGTGATTGTACCTTGTGCAGGGTGGGTCCCGGGCGCTCGTGCAGAGACGGGCATGGTCCAGCTGGAAAAGTGGACCAGGGCATCCCAGAAGACCCTGAGATTGAGTCTCGGCTATTCTGGCTGACTCCCGAGTGACTTGAGACAGCCACGTGAGAAACCACAAAACCACCTCTTCTGTGATTTTGTCTCCAATGGCGGGTTCATGTGCACTCACACTGGTCACAGTAGTCACTTGCTTGAAGTTGAAGGAGAGGGACTTCAGCCTCGGCCTCCCAGGGCCTCTGACCATGACCGAACACCCCAAGAGTGGTTGACACAGAGGAGGGTCCCACCCTTGAAGCCATGCAGGCTTCCCCTCTCCCCCACCCACTGGACCTTTGCTCATGTTGGCCCTTCTGTCTCCAGTACCCTGCCCATTTCCCTCGTGGTTCTTCCCAGATCTGGCCTCAGTGTCCCCACCTCTAGGAAGTCCTCTCTGATGCCTTCTCTTCTGTAAAATGGACACAAAGCCCTTCCTGGTTGGGTTCTTGAAACCCTGCTTCTGGAGGCCTGGGAGCACTTATCTCTGCAGATGGGGACACTTCCCTGTGTCTCCTGGGACACCAAGATGCCTGGCACTTGGGGCCTGAGTCTTACCTTCTTCCCATCCCAGAACCTCCCTCAGGGGAAGGCATGTGGGTCCATGTGGAACTACCTTGGCCCAGCCACGAGGGGATGATTTGGGAAAGGGCCATATTACCTAGGGAGGGAATGGAGCTGCTGGGGAGGGGGGCGTGTGGGGGCCTCAGGCTGCTGGGGACTCCGTGACAGTGCTGGGCCTGTCTTCTAGAACCGGGAGAAGTATCTGCTGCCCTTCCTGTCCCTGCAAATCATGGACTTCCTGCTGGGTCTGCTCACCCTGCTGGGCTCCTACATCGAGCTGCCCGCCTACCTCAAGTTCGCCTCCCGTAACAGCCGGGTTGTGAGTACCCAGCCCTGCCCCACGTCCCACAGCCGGCCAGCCTGGGGAGGTGGCAGGGGCTCTGTCCCCTGGGCCCCTCCCTCGTTGATGAGCCTGAGCCCCATCAAATCACGCCAACTTTCTTGCTCTGTAAAATGTGCCTGCAAGGGCTCGCCATCCCACGTGTTACGGTTATGAAGTAAGGACAGTGTATACAGGGTGGTCGGCACGTTGTGGGCACCCGGCAAATACCAGCCACGTGTGAGTTTACACTACAGGGAAGGGCGCGTGCCCATTGCTGTGCCCAGCCCCTGCTTTGTCCCTCCTTTGTAACCAAGTAAAGAAGGAAGATAAGTCGATTAAAGCCAACGATGAACATCCACAGGGCAGATGCCCATGACGGAGGTGCCAATCCCTGACTCGGCTCCCCGAAAGTTACTTTTCAGACTTTCCTTAACTGTTGTCCTAGAAGAGACTGAGTTGCTGGCCCAGAGCTGGGCATCAGGAGATCCTGGTCAGAGGCCAGGTCTTGCTACCAGCCCTCGGCGGGAATGTCTAAAAACTGGGCATCCGTTTCTTTCTGGGTCCTGTGGGTTGGAAAGTCCCCAGTGTCTCTGGCTGACTGTCTCTCGAACAGTCTGGGGATCTCTGGCTTAGGGCTTCATTGCTGGTTTGTCTCCTTCCTCCTGCCTTTGCCCTCCCAAGGGCCCCTCCAAGGTCCCACTGATGACCCTGCAGCTGCTTGACTTCTGCCTGAGCATCCTGACCCTCTGCAGCTCCTACATGGAAGTACCCACTTATCTCAACTTCAAGGCCATGAACCACATGGTGAGTATGGGCCAGGCACCCACCCCCATCACGGGCTGTGTGGCACTGAGCAAGCTGCTTCCCCTCTCTGTGCCTCTGTGCTTAGGCTGGGTGCCCTAAAGGTGGAGCCTGGGAGGAGGATTCTTGTGTAAATGATTGATTGAGGGAGACCTCTCAGGAAGACACTCGAAAAGGAGAGTGAGGCAAAGGGAAGAAGCCAGGCAGACGTGTGACTTTGGGGACGGCCTTGCCCGATCCCAGAGGGAGCCCTGGTCTGTGAATTGCATTGCAGAAATAATATCCATTTTTTATGCATGGAGAAAGGGGCACTCAACACATCTCAGGATGGCCCCGAGGCTTCTCTGCACAATTTTAGGGCACTACACCATAAAACTAAAGAAGACTGTCCGACTTCTCCAGGTCCTCTATCTACATCCCTTGATCAGTGATAAAATAGCCTGGGCTTTATAAGATGCGTCCTCAGATTTTTGCAAATCTCCAAATTAACACCACTAAAGTATATAATTATCCCTTCCTTCCCCAATATGGTATAATTTTATCAGAGTAACCACACATACAACACATAAGAAACTACAAAAACATTCTGAAATGACAGGATGGGTAATTCCCAGGCTCACTTGTTACCTATATAACTTGTTCCCACACATCAACCTTGCAAAATAATGTAACTGTTCAGGAAGAGCCTTTTGCATCGCCTTTTATATAATCCCATGTTTTGGTTTAATGTTGGATTTAGTATTTCACTCCAAAGTGTGCATAAGCACAACAGAAATTAAACACCACCCACAATCTCATTCTCAACATTAGAAATTATTGTGGCCATATAGTAAATGATTCTGTGAAGTTCATGTTTCAATTCTATATATACTCTTAAGGCATGATGAGATTCTTGAATCAATGAAAATCAGAGTTATCCCCAAACGTAGTGACTTGGAACAATACACAGTTGTTATCTCACACTGTTTCTGAGGACCAGGAATTTGGGAGTGGCTCAGCTGGGTCGTTCACACTCAGCGTCTCTCATGAGGTCTCACCAGAGATGGGGATGGGGCTGTGGACGCCAAGGGCTTGACTATGTCTGGAGGGCCCACTCCCAAGATGGCTTGCTGGCACGGCTGGGGTGTGCCTCCCACGTGTGTCAGGACCTGGCGCTTCTGTCAGTGAGCCTAGCCTCTAGAGAAGGGCCCACCGCAGCTGGGGGCTGGGGGCCGGGGGCTCCAGCCAGGTAAGAGCCAACTGGGCGGATATCCACTGCACCTGCTTCCCTTGGTTTGCTCGCCTGTCACAGGGGGCTGATGGTAGGTAGTGCCGGCCTCCTAGGGCCCTGGCAGGGGTCAGCCAGGACAGTGGCTGTGTCATCCTTCCACGTGTGGACGCTGGAAGAGTTTCTTGTGGACAGAGGCACTGATGCAGCCTCCAAATCTGTTGCAGAATTACCTCCCCAGCCGGGAGGGTGTGGCTCACAGCCAGTTCATCAAGATGATGATCATTTTCTCCATCGCCTTCATCACTGTCCTCATCCTGAAGGTGAGAGTCCGCCTAGCACGGCTCTGGGGAGGGTGGGGAGCCCGCGCTCGCCAGGCCCTTTCATATCAGACTGTTAGGAAGCAGGGAAGTCTTTCACCGTCTTCCGCTGCTGCCCTCCCTGCTCTTGGCTCCTTCCTCCAGCCCTCCCACACCAGCTCCTTGGACCCCACTTGGGATCCTTGGGGACACCCCATTGAGAGGGAGGGGATCTGTGAAGACCACTTGCGTTCAGGTGTCAGGGACTTAATGTGCAACCCAAAGAGACCCTGATTCAGGGAAGGAGGAGCTGTTCTGTCTGAAATCAGATTCAGAAAGTCTTGGATGTGAGTCCCAGCTCTCCCCTTGCCAGCTTTGTGTGGTTGTCTTTCGAGTCACTTCTCTCTGGGCCTTGGGTCTCATCTGTGAAAGCGACAGATTCAATATTGCTTTGCCCCTGTCACAGCTTTATATGATTCAAGCACCAAAATGTAGATCGGTCCTGAGGTCATATTACTAGAGGTATGGTGATGTGAAGCAGGGAGGGGAATGGTTTTATTCTTCTCTGAGGTGGTCAGGCCCAGAAGATAGAGTCCCATGTCAGGTCCCCATTCTTAGAGAGCTATGACAGACTGGAGAGTGTTAACCCTCTGCCATCCGAGGGAGTCAAGGAAACCAGGGCAATTCGGCTTGGAAAGAGGTGACTCAAGGGGTCTCCAAATACCCAAAGGATGCTCATGGGGATTCTAGAGGCCAGCACTGGAGCCTGTATCCCAAAGCCCCGGGGAGGCTGATGTCGACTCAGCAGAAGGAAGCGCTTTCAAGAGTGTTCTTTTCTGATTGTGAAAATAACATAGGATCATTGTAGAAATTTGGAAACTACATATGAGCAGAAAGAAGGCAATCAGCTCACCCCCCACCACCACTCAGAGACCAGTGCTCCTGATACCTGGGCCCATTTCCTCCCAGTCTTTCTGTGTGTGGGTGTAACTGGACGTCACTGCCTCCTTTTACTGGCGGCCCTGGGCAGCTTCATGCCATCACCTAATGTCAGCCTGCAAATGGAACTTCCCTCCTCTGAGCCTTCCTTCAAAGGACGGGCCTAGCACAGGGGCTTCCATGAAGTGCAGTGAGAACTTTCCTGAAGACTTAGGGGAGCCAGTGCGGGGGGGCGGGGAGGGGTTGACGTCATACACCCTCCTGGACAGCGACTCCCCAAGGCCCACCGCATAGCTCTGTCTCCCCCACCCCTCCAGTTCTTTATTCCCCTTGGGGGGAGTTCTCTCTCTGTTCCTCACTCTGCCTCATTGGCCACCCTCCTCCACCTGCCTCCTACTTCATTCTTTTATAATTCATTTTATTTATTCCTGCCACCTGCGTCCCCATCATGGGGGTTCCATAAAACAAGAGAACTTCCTGAAGACAGGACCCACTCTCCTTCCTTAGGAGGCAGTTTGGGGGCAGAGAGAGACCTATTGGCTATTATTCCTTGAACAGGCCCCTGGGGGCTTCACTCCCCACCCTGAAAATCCCCCCAGTGCTTATCCACTGTTAAGAGAAACATCACCGGCCATCTCAGGAGGTAGTGAGCTTCCAGCCCCAGGGGGTGGAGAAGAACGATTTGCAGGACCATTGCCAGGGAGGCTGGTGGAAGGGGGGTGCAGAAGCTCCCCAGAGCCCCCTTCTGCACAAGTTAGTGGAAAGAGCAATCCTCAGAACACCTGGGACTGGCAGGTGAGGTGCCCCTCCACCAGGACCAGCCAGATGCTGCCTTCTGGGCTGAGCTGGGGCTGCCCAGGAAGTGCCCAGCATCTGTCCCAGGCCTGCTGGGGCAGTGAGAACGGTCAGCAAAGCATGGTCTGATCTGGCTGTTTCTCAGGTCTACATGTTCAAGTGCGTGTGGAGATGCTACAAATTCATGAAGTACATGAACTCAGCCGAGGAGAGGAGCTGCTCCAAGATGCTGCAGAAGGTGAGCCCCGTGGGGGGTCAAGTCCCAGGCCTGCCACTCCCTGGGTCATTGGGGGAAGGTCTCTCTCCCTCCCTGGGTTGTGGTTTCTCCCCTTTGTGAGATGATTGGACTGGAAGAAATGTGAAGATCTCTTTCGGCTCTGATAGTCTAGGATTCTATTCCTTCATTCATGCATTCACCATTTTCTGCCTCTCACTCTTTGCTGGCTTTGTATCCAACCCTGGGGGTGCAAAGAAAACTGAGATGGCACCCCTTCCTAGGGGAGTGTAGAGCCCACAGAGAATCCAGACACAGAGATCTGATTGCAATGAAGGATGAAGCATGGGGGAAATGGGAGCATAGAGGAGGTACCTGGCCTCATCTGGGGTATCAGGGAAGGCTTCCTGGAATGGGTGACACTTGATCAAGTCTTAGACTGCCAGTTGATACAAGTTAGCTGGGAAAGGGGAAGGGGCCTTCTAGGTAGAGAGATGAGGTGCACTTAGAAGCAGCTCATTGGACACATGATGGGAAAAGTGCAGCTGGCTTAAATTTCTGGTGTCACTTTCCTCATCTGTAAAATGGGGATTGTATTAGTCAAGACACTTTCAGTTGCAAGTGGCAGAAATCCAGCTCAATCTGACTTATGTGAAAAAAGGGAATTTATTAACTCCCAGAACCTGAAGGTCCAATGTAGGTCTGGTTCACGGAGGCTGGCTGAGTTGTGACACCTGGATGTGATCTCATCCTCTCTTGACTCTGCTTTCCTCAGCGTGGGCTCCATTTTCAGGCCACCCTTTCCTCATGGTGGAAAAATAGCTGCCCAAACCCCTAGATTGACATCACATCCTCTCAGCAACCCCAGCAGAAAGGCCCAGGAGCATGTCTGAGGGACCAGCTTGGGTCACAAGCTTATCCCCAGACTAATGATATTAGCCAGGGAGGATGAAGTTCTACTTCAAGTGGCCACACTCAGATCGCATGTCCCACCCCGGATCTGAGGGGTGGGACCAATTCTTCTGAAAGCATGTGGACGGAGAATGTTTTCCCAGGGAAAATGGTGCATCATTAACGCCATAAGGGGGCTTGAAACTGGACAGGCAGAGGCAAGTCTGTCCCCTATAGCAATAGACACTGCACCTGTCTCGGGCATGCAGTCTAGCGTAGGAAGTACCCAAGGTGTGCTGGTCATCACCATCATCCGTTTTGCCAGAGGTGGGGGCTGGAGCTCCTTGACTCCAGGTTGGGAGCTGGTTCCTTCCGGCCGGTCCTCAGTTCCCATCTCTCTTGTTCCCAGGTGGTCCTGCCATCCTACGAGGAAGCCCTTTCTCTACCGTACAAGAGTCCAGATGGGGGCCCAGCACCACCCCCCTACTCAGAGGTGTGACGCCCGCCAGGCCCCAGCCCTGTGCTGGGAGGGGCGGAGCTGTCTCGCAATCCGCTTCTCTGCTTTGGTGGCCCCTGCAGCGGGGGTGAAGCACCCGGCTGACCTCAGGACAACCCGCTTGTGTCCCCCTCGCTGGCCTGCTTTTCCCATGGGGCCTGGGAGATGCTCACAACTGGGTCAACTTAAGGCCGAAAGACTTCTTGAGTCTCTTGGACATTCGGTCCAACAGCCCTCGGCTTATTGTGATCAGCCCCAACTTTTGTTTAAACCATTCGTCATTCCCAATTCAGTGGGTTTGGTTAAACAACTTGCAGCTTGACCCGTGTGACCATGTGGCCAGCAAATGAAAAGCACACTTCTCAGTGCAGAGAACCAGTTTAGTCAGACCGCCACAGTCCATTGCATTGGTTTTAGACAGTTGTCCCTTCCCAGGGCAATGCGGCCAAGTCATCGTCCCTGGGTCCTCCCGACCAAATACATACGTCTGATTTCTTCAAATTACTGGGTTCAACAATTATGGACAGCCAACCACCAGTCGATTCAAAGCAGGGTTAAAATTTAATAATAACAATAAAAATCAAATTAGCCCCAAACCATTCCCTTCGTTTGAATCCAATACCTGGCTGCCCACTCTGTTCAATCTGGTACTTCCGAGGGGCTGAGTGAAATTCGGGCAGTTGCCAAACGTCATCCAGCAGCTACTTCCAGGAAATAACAGTTGTCCCCATCATCCAACTGTCCTGACAAACACACAATCGTTCTTGCTGAAGACAGACAGTCATCAGCAACAGTCGGCCACACATGGTCAGCAGAGTCGCACAGCGGTGGGGTCCGCGACAAGGGCGGCCTCCGGCGCAGTCGTGTCCAGCAGCGAGCTGCCACCATCCTGCAGCGGTGGCCCCATCTGTTGCCAATTCAAGCAGAGGCGCCTGCGTCCTGCCCAATGCTTGTGCTTAAGCAGCAATTTAGCCCTGACATCAGGCAGGTCTGCTGGCTGGACTAAAGCCACGTGTTAGTTCAATCAAAGCCGGCAAACTCTTTGTGGGCGCTCGTGGCGGTGGTGGCAGAAGGGAAGGTTTGGGTCCCAACACCCCCTCTTTCGCCTGTTTCCCTGTGGGCTGGGGTTCCTGAGGGAGCTGATCCCGAGGCGGAGATAATAGGGCTATGGAGGCAGGTTCTTTGGGGTCTGAGAGGGGGGTTCAGAGGCAGAGGGCTGTGTAAGAGGCTCCCCGCCAGCACCCCCTTGTTTAATTGCTTTGTGTGTGACGGGGAAGAAGTTTCAATAAAGCAGCACCACGCTTCACTCTGGCTGATGTGGTTCTTAAAATGTGTAGGCAGGGCTGGGAGCTCTGCATCCATTTCCCGAAAAACGTGAACACACACACGCACACACACCCCCCCCACACCCCCACACCCATACACAGCATTTATTCAGTCCAGAAACTCACGGGGGGTGACCCAGCACTGTTTCTGATCATAAGTCATGGACCACTTAAGTACCCAGATGTCTCCCCAGAGAAGGTGTGAAGCCCACTCACCTGGAGGGTGCCAACCTGGAGTCAGGTCCTGTGCTGGGTATGGGGGGTGACTGTAATGGGTCAGACTTGCCTCCAGTTACCCGCAGTCTGGAGAGGGGGAAGACAGATCCGTAAGTGATTATGATAGCCCGTGGCCAACACCACGATAAGGAAAGTCCCAGAGACCCCTACAGTCAGCAAAGGCTTCTTGGAGGACCTTTCACCAAGCGGAGTTGGAAGGATGAGCGGGCAGCGGTAAGCAAAGGGGGGAAGGATGCAGAGGGCCCCTGCAGAGATGGGGAGAGGAGCTGGGGTAGGTAGGTCACTGTGGCTGCACGTGGGGATGGGGAGCCTGGCGAGGTGGTGGGGCCTCTGCATTCATTACTGTCCTTTGGCCGCAAGCCCACCCTGGCTCACTTCAGCCAAGAAGGGCATTTGCAGGAAGGAGATGGTTGCAAGTAACAGAAATCTTCATGAGCCAAATTAATTAAAAAAAAAAAAAAAAGAAAGGTGGTTGTGGTATTTCTTGGCTCCCATAAATGACAAGTCCAGAGATTTCTGGCTTTAGGCATGGTTAGACCTAGGAATCAAATTCTTCAATAATCTCTTTCTCTCTGGGGTCTCCACCTCTGGCCTTTGTCCTCCAAGGCTGAGCTGCTAAGGACCTGCCTGAGTGAAGTCAGCAGAGAGCCCGGGGAAGTGTGAGCTGGGCTTGGTCCCCAGTATTAACGGGGCCTTGAATGTTGCACCCAGGAGCAGGGACTTATCTTGGGATGGGGGAGTCCCTGAAGGGTTTGGGCAGGGGAGTACAGGGTCAGGCTCTAGAAAGGATGAGATCAGAGGCAGGGAGCCACAAGAGGGCTGAGGAAGGAGTTACCAGCCTTCTGGGGTTGTCAGCTTTTCTCGGGGGAGCAGATTTATTTATGGCTTTTATCACTCTTTGTCAGATCCCCAAGGAACTGATCAAGTGAGGCTCTGATAGAGATGGACGGCATTGGCTGTGTGTCCTGAGGACCAGTTGAAGTGACACCTCCCCCCACCCCATCCTTCCTGGCCGGAAGCCAAGGCTCAGGCAGAGATGCATAGCAGGATTGTGCCCTGTGGCCAGGCGGCCCGGAGGGGCTGGCCCGAGAAACAGGAAATAGCTGGGTTTGGGGAAGTTGTGTGGCCTGGCCAAGCCAAGCCAGCCCGCCGTCGGCTGGGCAGCCCTCACTACGGCCCTATCAATGCCCCATTTGAGGCTCACACAGGGGTCCTTTGACAGGGCTGAGCTGGGACCCACTGAGAGGGCCTGTCTGAGCTGGAGGGCCCGGAAAGGAGGCAGCCCCAGGAAGGAGTGGGCTGAGCGCAGGCTGGGCAGGTGAGGGGCGCCTGTGCACGGATGTTTCTCCCAGGGCAGGAGGGTCAGCAAAATCAAATCCGGGTCCCAGAGCAGGAGCGTCGGTTTCTCAGGACTGTGATGGTAGCTGGAACATTCCCCTGTTACTGAGTAGACTTCAGTGTCATCTCTGGGACTCTCCCCCCGGGGCCCCATGTGGCAGGTGCTGTGTGTGATGATTAGTCCTGAGGCTCAGAGCTGGCAAATCACTTGCCCAAAGTCATGATCAGTTGGAGGGCAAAGCTGAATTTGACTCCAATAGGCCTGACCGGAGTCTGAGCTTGTCCCCCTGGTCCTTTCCAGCCTACTGCATCCACCTGACGAGGACATGATTTTAGAAGCTTGGAAAGCCCCTTGAAGATAGGGACTGATGTATAACCATCATTGTGCACTTGATGCTGAGGACAGGCCTGGGTCAAGAGCCCTGGTGCCGCTTGTGGTGGAGGACAGGGGTGCATCGAGGATGCAGGACCCAGACAGAAGGCGGATGGGGGCGTGGTCCAGGGGAGGGAGGCTGGGGGCATGAACTCAGGCAGTGGCCATGGGGCTGGGTAGATTCAAGAGGCATTTGGGAAGCAGGATCCAAAGGGCCTGGACATAGAAGTGAGGAAAAGGGAGGGTCAAGGCTGGTGCTTATGTTTGGAGAACATATGAGAAGGTGGTGCCCAGCTTTGAGCTGAGGACACAGGACAGGGAGCAAAAGAGGATGCCTTGAGTTTTGTTTGCATTTGTGCTACCTTGGGGGACACATGGGGCAGGAGCTCAGGGACAGCTATGTCTATAGGTCTGGAGGTCAGGAGATAGAGGAAGGAGGGAGATTGGGATGTGAATGTCATCTGTGGACGTATTGGGGGGATGTCATGTGGGTGGGGTGTCACCAAGGTTCATGGAGGTGTTAACCCATCGTGGGACATAATGCTGACCTCTGGCCACCCTAGAGGTACCCTCGGATGAACGCCCTTGCCTCCTTGCCCTGTCTAGCCTCTGGCTTCCCACCTGGTCTGACTGCTTGTAGGGCCCATGACCAAGGCAACATGTTCGAGGCCTGATGGACACATGAGAGGCCTCATACGCAGTGGTGTGTCCCGAAGGGACCATGGACAGGATGGGCACGCAGCTACCCCTCAGCAGCCGGGGGTGTGGGGATGAGTATGCCCACTTTGCTGATGAAGAACCCTTGCCCTGTGCTTACAGCAAGTTCTCCACTTTGTGGGGTCCCTTCAGACTTTTGGGGAGACCAGATTCATATCCACTTAGGCACTCTGAGAATGTCCCCAGTTTGCAATGAAAAATGTTGAGGAAAGCAGTTCCCAGGTTAAAGGGAGAGGACGATCCGCCCTTGGGCCCACCTTGGATTTTTCTGGGTGGTGCTGGAGCCTCTGCTGTGGGTAGAAGCAGCATCTGCTGCGGGTCTCTGTCCACTACCTGCCTGGATGGGCTCTCTGGGAGCCCGTGCTCACATTCCAGTTTCCTGGTGCTCCAGGAGGAAGCCTGCCTAATTAGCCACCAAGAGCGCCCTGATAGGCAGTGGGCTCAGCAGAGAGTGGCCAGCACAGGGGAGCCATGGCCCTAAATAAACAGAGTCCATCTGGTCAGCCTCAGTGGCCCAGCTGGTCAGGCAGGACGCTGGCTTTCAGCTTCCTCTGTTCCACGTGCTGGGGGAACAACCCAGGCAGAGAGACACCCTGGGCGAAGACCTGGAGATGGGGCCGCATGTCAGGGGGTGACTCCAGCCCGGAGTCTCACCTGTGATGACCATTCTGAGCTTACAACATCACAAATACAGTCAGCCTTGACCTTGACCAACTTGCTGAAATTTTATAGTCGGTGGAACTGAATTCCTAACTGAGGGCTTTGGGAAAAGCCAAGGTATTCTCAAGCACTTTGGGTGGGCCATAGGAAGAAAAAAGAACATGCCAGGAATCTTACTCCTCACCTTCCCGGCCCCTCTTCCCGGGGAGGTGACTTCGGGTATCTCGGGGAGGCGGGGGAAGGAAAGGTTTAAATGTCTCGGGCATTGGACATCCTTAGGAAGGCTGGTAGGGGGAACAGCTTCAACACTAAAATACTCCTCGGTGCCTGTAGTCACTGCACGAGCAAGAACAGCGCCAGACCTTGCTCCCCGGTCATCAAACTCCATGGGGCACTTTTCCCACCCTCCTTCATCACCGAAGGCACCACGGAGGGAAGGGCCTGGGGACCAAATTATGAGACTAACCACTAGGCTGTCACTTGGGTAAGTTAGTTAACACCTAGTCCTTCCCATACTGACCCTGAAGCAACTTTCCCCAAACTGAAGAGTGCCTTATTTCCTTCTCTGTGTCCTGCCCTCCTCCCTCCTTCCTGCCCTCCCTCATTCTACACTGGTCTAGACCACCTGAGCTAGGCAGAACTCTAGGATGGCCTCTAATGACCTCGTGTCTCTCTTTCTCCCTGAGTCTGGGTGGAGCCCGTGAAATTGATGGGAGAGTCACTCCTGTGATTAGATTATGTTTCGGGGCACAGTAGACTTTAAGAAAGGGAGATTACCTTGGGTGAGCCTGGCCTAATCAGGTGATCCCTAAAGGGGACTGGGCTCCTCCTGAAGACGGTGCTCTGCATGGGGGAGATTTGAAGCCGGAGTGGGCCTGGGAGGAGACCACATGACAAGCTGCTGAGAGTGGCCCCTGGTTAACAGCCAGCAGAGGATGGGGGTGGAGGAGGGGGTCCAGTCTGACTACTGCAAGGAACTGAATTCTGCCAACTGCTGTGTGAGCTAGAAAGAGGATCCTGAGTTCCCGAAAAACGAGGCCCAGCCAACGTCATGACTTCAGCCTCGTGAGGCACTAAGCAGAGAATCCACTTTAGTGGTGCCCAGATTTCTGACCTACAGGAACTCTGAGGTCATACATATGTGCTAACTCGTTATATAGCAATAGAAAATGAAGGTACCACTCTTGCCCAACTTGGAGGAAGTTTATTTTTCCTTCCTTAAACCGCTAAGTGGCCACAGAGCCAACAGTCTTGAAGGTCTGAGGTCACGGTCAGTGTAGATTCAGAGTTTTGACGCTGAAGGATGAAACAGGTGAGTCGACCACCGGTCGCACATCTTCGGTCTCCAGTGGCTCCGTTTTGAAGTCGAGGGGAAAACAGCAGGGACTTCAGGCAGCATGAAGAGAGGTGAGGTAGCCTGGAAAATGGAGGAGAAAACATATTCTGTTCTGTGAGCTGGAGGATTATATTAAATTCAGAGCTCAAATCTTTAGGAGGGAGGGAGACAAATCAAAATGCCCTGGGAGCTGGCAACAGGCGGGTTAAGGAACCAAAATCCACGTGCTGTTAAAGATGGTGGTAGGAAATGAGGATGTTTTCCTCGGGGAAGAATCAGCTCAGTGGGGCCCCGACCATGATCTTTCAGGTCAGCGAACT